GATCGATCATCCCTGTACTTTTATTGGACAGATCGGTCCTGAGTCACAAATTTCAAGTTTGGAAGTTTGTGCTACCACGATTGTCCACCATGCTGGTTCGATCCCACTTCTGATTTTCTTATAAAACAAAAAACAAAACCTTTGCCAGAGCAATAGTGTTGCGGTGCCTGAATTGGGTAGGACGTGGTTTGGGAGAACGAAGTGTAAAGAGAAGCGAGTGTCACAAAACAATGTTACGTTTGAGTTATGATAAACCAACCCTATGACTGTCTTAGTTTGCATAGAAGTAGTTCGAGAATGTCTCATAATAAATGGAGATGAAGGTCTAGATCTTATTGAACAAGACATTTCCATAGGTACATTATTTGGAGTAATTTGTCTGAGTAAACCATTTTTACTCATTCTTGCAGCACGATTATTGGTAATACTATGTCTTCGTGAAAGACTTTTATCTCTAGCGAAATGACTTCTTATTTCATCAGCACGTTGACCTCTTTGCATAGATCGTAAGATCTTGAACTATATTCACTAACTTCATCGTCACCACCAGCATATTCAGAAACAGCAGGAGTTGTCATTATTTCCACGTCGAAAAGGAACAAGTGAACTTATAATATGAGAATCCTCATTTATAGTATTAGATCTAGACCTTGACATAAATAAAAAAATAATTCTTTTTAAATCAAAATCATTCAACGAGAGAGTATCAGGAGATGGTGAAAGGTGAACATTAAGAGAAGTAGTAGTAGTTAACTCAGTCATTGAATTTGATGGAATGTTGTGATTTTCAGATAACATAGATTGAGATCTTGAAAGAGCGTTATTCGGAAAATCATTTTTTTCAGGCGTCCAATAATCAGGTTCGGGATCAGAATTATCGCCATAATCCTCCATAAGTTGCGAAACATGCATTGCACCATCATAATTAAACTTTTCACCAGGTATTATATTGGAGGCACATTTAGAACAGAAAATCTTAGTTCACGCACAATCTACATATTTATTGATGTCTATATAATAAAAAACCAACATAACTTAATCAACGTCCGTAAAGTCACATGCAGTATAATCTATAGTGATCGACAAGATTAAATATAATGTAGATCTGTTTATACGTACTGTATCAGATATTTGATCTATCGTTATTTTAGAACCGTTGTTCGTGTGCTTAGTTTTTCTTTTTACATTATTAGCGTCTTATCACAGCTTACATTTAAGTCACACAATTTTTTACTACTAAACTTTGAAACTATGAAACTCCTTCCCGAATGTCTAAAGGCACTTAAATACCCTGGTAAGATAAAAAAAAAGTCTCAGCATTATGTTTATGTGTCAACTTTATGTTTAAGTGTCAACTTTATGTTTATAATTTAGCTTTTTGGGAAAAAACGAAACAGCCCACTCTCCGAAAATTTTTGGAGTTTCGACTTTTATGTGGTAATTTACACGAGCCAAGAATCGAATACGATCGTTATAAAAAGGAGCTAACCATAATTGGCACATATTATGCTGAAGTGTCTGTAGAGGGACGGCAAGTTGCTGAATGGACAAAATCTTTTAAGGCAAGTAGTATATATGATCTAATATCTTTAAGTACACCAGCTACTTTACAACCCGCTGTGCTTGTATTGGAAGACTGCTTGTTCGGTCTGTTGGTGAGGCAGGCTTAATGAATGTCGGAGATGAATTGGATGCTGCTGAAATTTGAAGACACCAGCTACTTTACAACCCGCTGTGCTTGTTTTGGAAGACTGCTTGTCCGGTCTGTTGGTGTCTTTTTTTTTTATGGTTAGATTAGGATTTTAAGTATGCCAACTACTTTACAACCCGCTGTGCTTGTATTGGAAGACTGCTTGTCCGGTCTGTTGGTGTTTTTTTCAGATTTTTTTTTTTTATAGTTAGATTAGGATTTTAAGATTAGGATTTTAAGTATGCCAACTACTTTACATCTCACTGTTGGTGTTTTTTTTAGATTTTTGTTCTTTATAGTTAGATTAGGATTTTAAGATTAGGATTTTAAGTATGCCAACTACTTTACATCTCACTGTGCTTATATTGGAGGACTGCTTGCCCGGTCTGTTGGTGTTTTTTCTTGATTTTTTTTTATGGTTGGATTAGGATTTTAAGTACGCCAACTATCTTACAACCCACTGTGCTTGTATTGAAAGATTGTTTTTCCGGTCTATTGGTGTTTTTTCTAGATTTTTTTTTTTATGGTTGGATTAGGATTTAGGATTAGGTGGTTTAGTAGAATTTATATTTTTCTAAATTTCAGCACCTCCCCGACAGTATATTGTAGTTCATGATATGATTACCTCTGCATACTTACATGAAGTTCATGTACTAAGAATTTTTATTTTTTATATTTTTTATATTTTTTATATTTTTTATTAACAGAATAGCAAACGATTATCAACGATAAGATATTTTTGGCAGATTAATAAACAAAGTATTACTGAATTATCAGATGAAGAAGAGGATGGAATTGTAGTAACAAATAATAACTTAAACGATCATGAAGAGGATGGAATTTCGGTAACAAATAATAGCTTAAACGATCATGAAGAGGATGGAATTGCGATAACAAATAATAACTTAAACGATCATGAAGAGGATGGAATTGCGGTAACAAATAATAACTTAAACGATCATGAAGATGATGATATTAGAAATCCTTTTTTGGAATTGGATAAAACTTTAATTTCTGTCTCTTCTATTAATCAATCATCCCTCAACAATAATTCTTCGGAAGTAGATAGATATTATCAAGACAATGATCTTTTTCTAGAATTATCCCCAATTTCTTCCGAAAATCAATTACTTCATGACAATGATACTTTTTCTATATTAGATAAAAATACATTCAATAATAACATTTCCAAACCATTTATGTATTCTTCATGTGATCCAGTAACATTTAAATGCATTCTTGAATCTGGCGAAAATTTCACTGATATATGGATCAAATATTTATCTAAAATAAATATGCATTCATGGAGAGTGGAGAATGATAATATCGTAATGGCTTTTCAAAATAAAATACTCAAGTCTGTGTTTAAAAAAAAGCTGGGAACAAATACGCGGCCAAAAATTAAAACTCGCAGAAGAAAGTTTAATTGAACGATTAAAACCTATTTTTCAAAATAACCAACAGTCTTTATTCCAAAATTTTGCCCGTGTGTGGGCAAATTTAAGTGATGATATAACATTATGCACTATTAGTAATTCATATTTTCATCAGCGAATTTGCTAGTAAGAGAAACATAATTTCACATCCCTCGACTACAGAGGCGATGTGGAGTACGATTATGAGTTTTGTAATTGGAAAAGCGATTCGAAGTAGCAATGTAGAATATACTTGGGGTGAAATTGAATTAGATTCATCAGCATTAAGAAAGGACAGTGGCCGTGATATTTTATCTTTACCCAAAGTTGCAACAGGGCATAAAGGAGATAGCACAGGATTATCGAAAGATGGTCGTGAATGTTTTGTTATGGAGATTTCCTATGCTCCCCACAATTCAAATAGACGTAAAACAGCTGAAGATCTATATAAACTACTTAGAGAGATGCGAGATATGCTACATTTATCTAAAAAAGAAAAACGTGAGTTGGGATATAAAATACCAAGAAAGGGTTTACGTGTATATGGTTCACAATGTTATGGATACATCCAAGATTTATATGAGATGGAGTATATTAAACCTTTTTACATTGCTCGAAAAATTGGATCTATAAAGATTATCAACGATGACATCACAAAGCTTGATTTTGTTTTACGAATGATCTGGGCATTTAAAGAAAGAATTGCTTTGGCTAATGAAATATGGAGTAGTTTACCAAGTCGGTATGAAAATGATACGTTAGAATCATCAGATGATGGTGATAATTTCACAAAGACGACCCCCAAAAAAACCCAAAAAAGCCAGCAAAACGTAACGGTCAATGAAATCAAGTCTTAAATTCTGCGGCTACATTTCTGTCTTTTCCTTATCAGTGAGTGCTTTAAATAAGATATTACTTTTTTATTACTTGCATAGTTACTTTGGATTAATTCCTATTAATTGACAAAAACAGCTGTTGCCATAATGAATTTCATTTTTCATTTTACTTAACGATAATAAATAAGTCAAGGTGATTAAATGGAAATATATTATTATGATCATGTGTTGTTAGTCAATATTCTGTAAATTTTTTTTTTTGAATATTTGTACATCCTGGACTTATGATTTTTTAGGCTGTGCATAAGTATATGTAGTTACATTGAAGTAGATACATGATTGAGTTAAAGATTATTTGTCGATTTAAGATAGTTTTTCTTGTATGGAGTATATAAAAGATAGGCTGCTTATCTTTACTCGCAAGTGATCTACAATAAAAATTTTTTGAAACGCCTCTTTCGAAATTATATTATTGAAAACTTTTAAACTAAAACTGCCTGATATAGAAATGACATAGCCTCGACATTCGATTAAAATCGCATATTTTATTAAATAGTATAGTTAGAATATTAATAAACCTGCTACAATTTAGGCACGTCCTTACGTTCATGCAATCTAATGGCTATGTTAAATAAAGTGATTTTTGAATCAAAATTATTTTAAGTAGCATGAAATCCACAAAATAAGCACTTGCTAATAAATAAGTTTACATATTTTTTTAATTTAGACATTTCGACATTAATTAATCATTTTGATATTAATTAGACATTTCGGCATATTTTAGAATTTCAACATTATTTCGGTATCAAATGTCGGCTAACATTGGATTAGCCTATCAAATTAAATCTTCACAATTTTTTTATGTTTATACATGTTTTATAGTTTCAAAAAACCAAATAGCTTATGAGATTGAGAATAGTTTGACAAGACTTATCTTACGTTAAATAAGATATTCCAAACGATCCAAACTTTTTCACAAAGATTATTTATATATTATGTTGAATACTGTACAATGTTTATATTATTTGTATCTTAATATCATACTTTATTTTAATAATGAACTTTGGTTTTATATATACCAAAAAAATTTTTACATACACATTCTTAATTTTTGCTTTCGAATTAATTGCAGTTGAAAAATCAATTATGCTGCAGCTTTAGATATACTCGTTGGCAAAATTCAGAACTACGTACGTACGTATTATAAAATTGATCTGCTAAATTTTTTTTTAATCGGTGTATATTTTTGGTTCATGAATTAGACTCAAAACCCACTATACCGAGCTTTTTATAATGAACTCTGAACTGTAAAATTTTAATTTTATATTAGTTGAATTTGGAAAGCATAATAGAATTATAAAACATATATAGTGATTTTTATACTGTATGACAGTATCATTTATAAATACAAGTTTTATGGATCATACGGGCGGAATTTTTTGATTTGGTGACTATTAAAAATTCGATGATAATATTTTATAAAAATTTATCAAATCATTTAAATGATTTATGTAATATATTGCATGATTACCAGTAAATTGAATCATACGATTGTATTTGATTGTATTTGATTGGTCAATCAGTTGTCTTGGTTATAAATTGCTTATGAATCGCTTATGAAACCGGTTATAAAACTGCATAATTCTTATGAATCATTATGCATTTGATTGGTCAATTGCTATAAATTTCTTATGAAACTGATCATAAAGTCGCATAATATTTATAAAATCATTATGTATATCACTTAATTTTAGTAATCACAACAATCCCATTGAAAATTTTCGCCCGCATGAAAAGTTTATCATGGTATAATCAAATAATGACATCAAATTTAAATGACGCTCTAATGACGATCACGTTGAAGCTTCCTATACAACTTGCAAATAGAAAATCTAGTTCAAATATTCATTTATAAATATTATCGTTATTTCAATATAAATTTGTCGTCATTAGAACTTTGCTGAAATTAAATTAATCATTTCAAATAAAATAATCCAAATTGAAGAATTGCGATTTTACTACTAATTGATTATTCTATTAATAAATTCAAAAACTTCTAGCGATATTTTCAGTAAAATTTTATTTCAATTCTATAGGATTGTAGAATTAAAATAAAAAAGCGTTCATTGAATTTGGTGCAATAGTTATCGAGAAATCCTTGCTGAAAGTTAAAAAAAACTTAGAAAAAACTAGTCTAATAAAATTTTCATACTTTGAACTTTAAACAAATATTTCTCGATAACCAACCATCAGAATTCGAAGAAAGTTTTTTTATTTTAATTCTATGAGATCATAGAATTAAAATAAAAAAAAATTGATTAAAGTTTGATATCAGATAGTCGAAAAAGATTCATTAAAATTTTTTTTTTTTATAGACGCCAAAATTTTGAACAAAGATTACTTAGCACTTACCTGGTCAAATTCGAGTAATATATATATATATTTAATTCTATAAGCCTGTAGAATTAAAATAAAAAAAAATTGATCGAATTTGAACTAAGTAATCTTCGTTCAACGTTTAGGCGCCTATAAAAAAAAACTGCGGCCAAATTTTTTTTAAAATTTTAATGAATATTTTTCAACTACCTGATATCCAACTTCGATCAATTTTTTTTATTTCAATTCTATGATCTCATAGAATTAAAATAAAAAAACTTTTATCGAATTCTGATGGTTGGGTGTCGAGAAATATTTGTTTAAAGTTCAAAGTATGAAAATTTTATTAAAGTTTTTCTGTTTTTTTTTTAACTTTCGACAAGGATTTCTCGATAAACACTGAACGAAATCCAATGAACGCTTTTTTTTTTTAATTATACAGAACTATAGGATCGAGATAAAAAATTTTACTGAATTTATTCAAGTAGGTATTGAGATATGGTCGCTAGAAGTTTCAAAAAAACTTCGAATTTATTAAGACGATCAATTTTGGCGTTTTTTTTTAACTTTCATCGAGGATTTCTCGATAACTATTGAACTAAATTAAACAAACGCTTTTTTTTTTAATTATACAGAGCTATATTATTGAGATAAAATTTTTTTTCCGAATTTATTCAAGTAGTTATTGAGAGAGGATCGCTAGGATTTTCAAAAAACCGTCGAAATTATTAAGAAGATCGTGATCGATTTTGGCCAATCAGCGATGTGAAGATCTTCATCCAATCAAACGTTGGGGGGTAAATTAGTAAAATCTACGTGATACGTGCTTCATGTTTTGAAGACTGTGCTTTGTAGTCAAGTTATGCTTGATATAAGCTTTACGTTTTGAGGACTGTTTTGAAGCAACATTGTCAAGTTGAAACCAAATTTATTGTAACAGAAGAAACATTTGTCATAATGGAGGGTAAGTTTATATTCTCTGGGATATCTGCCTTCCTTGAACTTTTCTTTCTCAATAGAAATCCCACTAAACGATCCTACCTACTTCACCCTTGATCGCGACTGGTCATTATTAAGTTTCTTATTATACCGACAACAATGCGATGATTTCACAGCTAATAAATGTGGTGAACACAAACGATATATTCGCAACCTCTCAGCCATCGTTGAAAGTGAAGATACACTGGCGATCATAAATAATGCATCAAAAAAAAAAAATTCGTTAGATCGAATTTTCTCGCGCAATTCCGCGTGT